CATTCCCAGAGACGCCTGGATAGACCGGGTCAAGTTGGGGATGGGTGGGTCCGTCTCGAGAAGTACAGAAGTATTCGCCTGAAGTCTAAGATTGACACCTCAGTCGTGGGATCAGTCGATATCTATGGAGCGGAGACGAAGCGGATGACGGCAGACTAAACAAGAGCATATGGGTCTGGAGATGAAGATGTTACGATGGAGTCTGGGACACACGCGATTCGACCACATTCGGAACGAAGACATTCGAGACAAGATCAAGGTCCAACCGATCGTCAATTCCCTTGCCTCCTCTCGCCTACGCTGGTATGGTCACATTTTGCGAAGGCCTCCAGACACCGTGTCCAGATCAGCCGATAGTATCACCTTCACTGGTACACGCCCGAGAGGCAGACCCAAATTACGATGGATGGACAACGTGAAGATCGACATGAATGCTGCTGATCTGTCTGCAGACGATGCATGGAATCGAGATTACTGGAAAGCCTTGGTGAAAAAAGCGTGCTCAACGAAAGTTGGACAACAACGCTAAGAAGAAGTTCCGTCAACTATTGAAATTATAAACCACCATTACCGCCAACATATGGTCCTTCAGAGTAAACTTGTAAAAATTCTGAGCATTTCTGTTGGTCCTGATCATCAAACTTCCTCACTTTAAGATGTTTCGACAGCAACAAAGGCACATGGTAGTTACTTCGTGCCAAATTTGTAGAAAACACCAGGTGGGTCAGCACTAACTTAGGGTTTTCTAAGGAGCTTGGAGGCTTTTGCTGGACTTCCTTCGCAATTCATGGGAGAACGTTGCCGACAGGGAAGAGATTCTGTGATAATTTCCACGCATAAGCTTGGTGAGCCCATTTATTTGCCTATGTATTGCTCAACAATAGCTATGAAGTCCTTCGATAACAGCTAGCAGTTCTATGTGTCCGACTCAGGCGTGTAGCTCAGGTGAAGAATCCTACTTTTAATGTCCACTACAAACTACCGGATCAAACGAGATACATGCAAAAATTGAAATGTTTATCTCGATTTTGTGGCTATTGTGTTCGGATAACGCAAAAAAGGTACCAACTCTCGTTAGGCACTTTTTGAACAGCTTCAGAAGACACACGTCATTCGATGCAAAAAACCAACCAGACTGGGATTTCTCAGGTTTCTAAACAGTGGCAAGCTCTTAACGCTGCGAAATGCTGCGGCAGAGATGCTTCGAAGAGAACATCGACCCCGTTACACACGCTTCACAGTAATCTTCAAATGATCAAAATTTTGCAGCACACAGATGGAAGTGTCCAATGACTTGTCCGACAACCTAACAGAAAGATGGCGAAATCCTTGACATCTCATCCCATTTGTCGCTCAATCCCAACCGTTATTCCAGCTCAACCATTCACATCTTCATTATGTCGACTCTCCCTTCACTCACTGTTGTCTTTTTTGCCATAGTTTTCTTTGTTTTTGTTTGTTTTGTTCTTTTTGGGTGTTTACTAATAGGTCCGAGCCGCAGCCTGGTGAGAAACAGGTTGTTCCATTGGTACTGCAACGCTATTGCCATGCAATTCTTTAACAATGGATCATAATCCAATAATTGCAAATAATTTCGCCTATGAAAAAGAGTCCGTCGAGCGCAGGCTTGTCGGCGTAATTGTTGGCATGAAATCGGATTGTTGAAAACATAGGAGGGTACAAGAAACAAATACATTTTGTTCTGTGCAGAGAGAAGGTTTGCTTTATTGAAAAAAATTATTGTCTCGCAGGATATCGGCGACTTCGCAAAAGATATAGATATATGTGTAGAGCATCTGTTAGCAGATAACTGAATCGAGTTTGTAGTTCAACAAGGACACCGGTGCAGCTGATTGTTGAAAAATATGTCCTTCATTCAATTGGTGCAAAAATGTCCCTGTTATGTTCAGGAGAAGTACCCCGAGTATTGACGGCGTGTCTGGCTCCTCGTGAGTTTTTAAATTTCTCGTGCATGAACACGGTTCAAGGATGGCGATATCGATCCTTTTCCCCCAAAGAACGCGTCTCCCCCGTCTCCACTCGGGAGATGGAGAACACAGGATTTTAGCGCATTAGGACCGCACCAGGCTACACTTTGGAGACGTCAGTGTTATTAGCGTTCCGCGCAGCCGACGTGGGATTTCTGGTGAGTGATATTTTTAGGGATATTATCTAGCAAATTCAAAAGAAGAACCCGTTGTGTAATGCAGAAGAAATCTTATCGGATAAAATGGAAAAGAAAATGAATGAAAAACCTAATAACTTTTTCCGAAATGCGAGCTGAAAGGTCCTATGCGGTCGGGGGCTGCAGCCCACATATGGGCTGCGTGGGCTCCAAGGTGTTAAAGTTCGTGTTGAGCGTTCCTTTTTATATTTTAAAGTCTCTTTCTCTGAATAATTCGCGCTGGTCTGTTTGAGAAATGCAGAGAAAGGTGTTGGGCGGTCCCACGTCGCGATGGCGACAACGGTTCTTGAGAAATCGAACGGATCCGGATAAAAACAATGTCGCTTCGCGATCCTGCGGTACGAGACTTCTGTTTAGACATTACGCGTTCAGTTGGTCAGTACTCCAGAACATGTAATGATGATACATGTGTTATTACTTGGTGGGCCTCTCATGGTTCCTAGACTTCTCTTAGCATATTCATCAGGAATCTAGATAGAGATTTAAGTGGTGGAATTCTTCCCCTGGCAAGTATATGTCAGGATACGAGAGTAGGTCTGGAGCGTAACAAGGGTTAAGACAGATGATCAACAGCAGCAACTTTCTGTTCTATTCTTTCACTGTGCGGACAAATAGTGTTTCCGACGCCGAGAAAGGTAAGCAGACGTCAAGGTATTTCGAGATGTATTTCTATCTGAATCTATTTCTTGCAACTATGTTGCTGGATTGAATAAACTTCGGAAAATTTGCAACTGGCCAATAGGAATGGAGTGAGTAATGAGTTTTGCTCAGAATGAAAGAAAAGTTTAAATATGCGAAACACTGTGCAGTACTGAACTACGATACTTCCCACTAGCACACATTCCGTTGTTCCTGCCATGGACGAAAACTCTTTGTTATCAAGGAAATTTTGCAGTTCTTCGGGGGTCTTCAACCAACGCGTTCGCCGGTCTGAATATGTTAATGTTTGTCACCCTTCTTGTTGTATGATAAAAAAGGAAATTAATATATCCCTACTATATATAATGCGCTATGTCTGTCTGTCCGTCTGTCACGAAATTCGGTATCAAGCGAACAACAACCTACAGGGTCCAGGTCAAGTTTGGGATGGGTATACCATATCCCTAGAAGTAAAAAACACACATCAGCCAAGCGGAGCCCCGCCCACAGTGGGCGTGGCGTGCATCGGTTGATTTCAAATTCAGTCACAAAACAGCCTCGAGACCGGGACAAAAGTGGGCATAGGTGTGGGTTGGTAAGCCAGATCGAACTGAGGAGACCCACCCTCGGTGGGCGGGGCGTTCTCTAGAAAATGGGTGCTCAGTGAAAATATTCATAACTCGGTTAAGAGGAAGCCTACAGACCAGGAACGAAATTAGTGCAGGGGAGCAATGCCTTAAGGTATTTCCACCACGCATGATGTGAACGGAGGCCCGCCCACAATGGGCGGAGCGTGTCGTGAAGCGGACAGCATTTTCTACAAGAGCTCATAAATCGGCTCCGAGATGACTTAGAGACCGGAAAACAACGGATAGAGGTCAGGAGGGGAGGGGAAGCTAAATGTCAGGGATGGGCGTGGCTTACATCAAAGTGGGCGGAGTTTGCAATTAGGCTTATAAAACTCGGTTTGGTTTTAGGAAGTGAACCGGAGTCCGTGGAAAAAAGCGTATAAGGGTTGGTTGGAGAGGAAAGGGGGTCAACCGTTGTTGGCGGGCGGAGCATGCACCAAAGTGGGCGGGGTTTGCCACGGTACTTCATAACTCGGTTCCAATAAGTTCCAGAGATGGGAGAAAAGTAGAAAAAGGTTGGGGAAGAGATGATAGCCGACTGATATCAGTGGGCGACCCACGCACCAAAGTGGGCGGGGTTTGCCACAAAGATACGTAGCTCGATTTCGTCCCCTACAAGACCTCATAATTCGGCTCCGAGATGACTTAGAGACCTGAAAAAAAATACGCCAGAGGTGAAAGTAGGAGTAGAGGTTGAATGTGAACGCTGGGCGTGGCACACCCGGATGTGGGCGGAGTTTGCCACCGCTCTCATAACTCGGTTCCTAGAAGTTCCGGCGACCGGGGAAAATGTGCATAAGTATTGAGGTATGGAGTAGGGTTGAATCATTGTTTGGGTAAGATGCACCAAAGGTCTGCCTCAGAAATTCGTGACTCATACGCCATTTACAAGATCTCATAATTCGGCTCCGAGATGACTTAGAGACCTGAAAAAACACCAGAGGTGAAAGTAGGAGTAGAGGTTGAATGTGAAAGCTGGGCGTGGCACACCCGGATGTGGGCGGAGTTTGCGGAGTAAGTAAGATGTACCGAGCAGAGCTAAAATCAAGACAAAAATACTGATGGGCCCGATTTTACTTGAGCCCGTATTGACGCGATGCGTGCGCGCCAAACTGGTTTAAAATATAACCGGTTGGGTGAAAAGCGATTCAGAGGTCACAGAAGTAGAAGCTAGGAGCAGATACAAGAAAGCCATGTAATGATAAGAAGTTACCTCAAACTTTCATGGGCTTGCTCAACAGTTACTCTGAATTTGAACACTTTCATATGATAGGTTGCACGTCCCATGGTTTTTATTCGCTCGGTATGTATGCCACACTTCTGAACAAAGCAAACGCTACCATGAAACTCAAAATTTCTTTAACTAAGGACTTACCACAAAATCAATAGTGTCGTTGAAAATGGTTTCTTCGGGTACGCGCCACTTCCACGACATCGGAACCAGCACCAAGAATTGATGTCACCATTTGTTTCCGGTCTTCAGATTTACTGTCGTTTGAACGCGGTAATTCAAATGCCTTGGAAAATATATTTTGCAAAGTGTCAAGGAAAGTCTTCTCCTTCGGAGGCTCAATGAGGTCAAGAAAACGCGAAGTCTTCCATTCCTTGATATCTTCTTCGTCAACCTCCTCTTCGTCAGCATCGCTGGAAAGGTTTGCTCTGGCATCACAACACTCCTTAACCACGCTGTTGCATCGCAATCGTGCCGTTTGTGTCAGCTCATTCCGAAGATTTTCAAAAACGGCATTCTGCCTCTCATGCTCAGCTTTTAATCGCTTGATAAGAGAACCACCGCCGACAGTAGAAGACTCTTCTATTCCTTCAAAATCAGCTAGGGAACTTTCCACAGCCGTTGATGGAGAGACCCGAAAATTGACCAGTAGCATGTCCGCTGCTGTCTAAAAAGTGATCGGATTATCCTAGCTTGATACAAAAGTTTGTTTTCATGTTTGAAACATACAATTTTCTGGTTCTCTAGCTGCTTTCTTGCATCAGCAGTGAGTTTTACAAGATCGAGCTTGCTCCTTTCATCTTCAAGATGTTTGACTTCGATATCCTCTTTGAAATATATCTAAAAACTTATCCATATATTCACTTTTATACAGAGCTTTCCAAAACCATAGGAAACATACGTCTTCAATTTTTCTGTTCCTAGGATTGGCATACTTGTTTACAGGAACCCGAATGAGCGGTGCCAATCTACCGAATGCTGTTCCTTTGGGTGGCTTTTTGAAGGTATAGAGAGTCTTGTCCGCATTCTTCTCAACACAGTTATACCTATCTCTGGGATCATCACAAGCTGAAATTTATAACAAATAATTTGCTTTTTGATAACAATTCTCTGATATTATAAGAAACCAACTCTTGACATGTACAACCAAATTTTAGTAACAAACATCCTATCCTACTATACTATAAAGCGCTTCGTCTGTCGTCTGTCTGTCGTCTGTATGTCTGTCACGAAATTCCCTAGCTCCTCGGGATCCGCCTGGAGGGACCGGGTCAAGTGTGGGATGGGTGGGCAAGGTCTCACGTAATACAAAACACACATCAGCTAAGCGGAGCCCCGCCCACAGAGGGCGTGGCGTGCGTCGAAATGAATTGTACCGAAGACCAAGATTTCGATTTCAGTGACAAAACGACCTCGAAACTGGGCCAAAAAGTGGGTAAGGTGTGCATTGGTAAGTCACATCGAATTAGGGAGACCCACCCCCGGTGGGCGGGGCGTTCTCTAAAAAAGCAGTGCTTTATGAAAAATTTCATAACTCGGTTGGGAGAAAGCCTACAGAGCAGAAAACAATTTGGTGTAAGGGAGCAATGTCTAAGGTGTTTCCTGCATACATGACGTGGGCGGAGGCCCGCCCAGAATGGGCGGGCCGCGCTCCAGGGGCGCGCTCTGAAGTGTACAGCATTTTCTACAAGCCCTCATAATTCGGGTCGGGAAGTCTTAAAGAGCCGGAAAAAGGTGGATAGAGGTGTATGGAGGAGTGGAGGCCAGCTGTCAATGGTGGGCGGGGCTTGACCAAAGTGGGCGGAGTTTGCGACGAAAATTCATAACTCGGCTCCAAGAAGTCCCGGAGGCCGGGAAAAAGGTGGATGGAGGTGGGTGGAGGAGTGGAGGCCAGCTGTCATCGGTGGGCGGACTTGACCAAAGTGGGCGGAGTTTGCGACGAAAATTCATAACTCGGCTCCAAGAAGTCCAGGAGGCTGGGAAAAGGGAGTGGATGAGGACCGGGGTGGTGGGTGGAGGAGTGGAGGCCAACTGTCAATCGGCGGGAGGGTACTTGACCAAAGTGGGCGGAGTTTGCGACGAAAATTCATAACTCGGCTCCAAGAAGTCCTAGAGATAGGGGAAAACGGGGTTAGAGGTTGGCGAGGGAAAAGAGGTCAACTGCTATTAGTGGGCGGAGCACGCACCTAAGTGGGCGGAGTTTGCCAAAAGTGTCGTAATTTGGTTCCAAGAGGTCCCAGAGACCGGTGAAAAAATGGGGTAGAGGTCGCGAAGCACGAGATTTATTGTCCGGAAGCAGTCCGGAGACCGGGAAAAAGAGGATAATGGTTGACGAAGAAAAAAAGGTTGAAAGCCGTCGATGATGGAGCGGATAGAATTTAGCTGAGAATTCAGATATTCGTGGTGTATCAAGCCAAATTTGAAAATTTTCGTCGCACCATCAAAATTCGCCGCAGATCTGTGTTGCGCGCGCAATGCGTGCGGCGCCAACTGGTTATATATAAACGCTAAGTGTGTCTGTTGGTGTGTGTGTGTGTGTTGTGTGTTTGACCGGAAATTCATAGCTCGGGCACCAGTGGTCGTCAGGAGTTGGTTTCAAGATATGATATAGGGGGTGGGACGGGAACATATTTGGTGGGGTAAAAAAGTGATAACAACTGATAAGGGCTGATAAAAGGCGCTAGAACGCAAGTGTCGCGAAATTCATAGCTCGGGCACCAGTGGTCGTCAGGAGTTGGTTTCAAGATATGATATAGGGGGTGGGACGGGAACATATTTGGTGGGGTACAGAAAGTGATAACAACTGATAAGGGCTGATAAAAGGCGCTAGAACGCAAGTGTCGCGAAATTCATAACGCGCGGCCCAGCAGCAATAAGGTGCTGTCTTTCTGTGATATAATGTAGGACACAGGTCGGGAAAACATTTGGTGGGTCACAAGCGAGATAACAGCTGATGAGGACTGATAAGAGCGATTAGCTCGAAACAGAGAATTACCTAAATTTGCATATGCGCGACAAGGAAAACACTTCATTCTACTTGCGATGTCGTCGTCAGCATCCTTTAGACCGCTAATTTGCCCGAGTTCCTCAAAATGCTCGGTGTTAGCGGAAACACGATAATCAGTGGTGTTTCTATTCCAATGTCACCGGTATAAGAAATTGTCAACCGCTAAACCATTACAACATCCGAGGCATGGTAGGTTGTTCGCGCTAAGGGTGATAATGAGCCAAAGTAATTGTTTTGCTTATTCCAAGCCTAATCGGCCGCTAGACCGTGTTACTTTTCGGAAAATGATGGATGTTTATGGGTATTGACCTATGAGGAGTTACAGCTTTATCACCAGCACTGTAATAACCCTTGTTAATAACATCAGTCAAATGCATTGAATGCATGCGTGTTGCTTAATACAAGAGCCCGGCTATGCTCAGTTTGCTGGAGCCTACTTTGACATGCGCGCGGAAGCGAGCGGAGCCAAAATGGTACATTTAATACAAAGAGCATGTAAGCACAATGAGGTGAGGAGAATGCAAGAAAGACCAAATAAATCAAGGAAAGTAGAGCGATAGAAAAGAAGATCGGAAAAAAAGGCCAAAAGTGAGAAAAATCTATGATAAGATTAACAAGGACAAAACTTACATTCCTCTTCCGGGTCGAAATGATGATAAAACGGGCGCTCCTGGAGAACGTAACCAGTCATATCTCCTGTCCTCAAATACTGCCCTGTTTTATACAACAGTGGATTATCCTCGAGCATAAAATGCTCCCAAGTTATCGGTTCCTTTTGCAACGCGTTGGCCAACATATCTAATAAAGCATGTATATGATATATGCAAATTCAAATATCTTGAGCCCGTACAATGAAAACAAAGGATAATCACCTTGGCAGCGTTTAACTGTTGCGAGTTCAATGTCGTCGCAGTATCGGCTCTGTGGAACAGGCCTTCTAACCATCGCGTCATGCAGAATGATGACCTTCCCCGAGATGTCTCTACGTGCTTGGAAAGTAGCTAGCGCATCAACTCTGTCTGATTCGAGGTTTGCTGTGACCTGCAGAGACTAGCAAATCGGCTACCATGCTATATATTACCAGTTTAGCTCCGCACGCAACCGCGCGCATCAAATGACGGGCTTCAGTGAAACTGGACAACTTCCAGAATGTTAGGTCACGTAACAGAGAAACTAACAGTGAAATGTTTTGGAAGATGTGTCCCATGAAGTTCAAAGGTCGTCCAATTTCTCTGGAGGTTGTCGCGTAACGCGCGCAGTAGCACGCGGAATGGAAATGTTACTTATCATGACTTCGAAAACATTTAGCATTGATATCGAGCTCGGGCGATTTAGCGGTTTATAGAACTTCCACAATTGAATAATCGGTGTGTAAGTGAAATATAAGCAATCAATCAGCATCGCTATTCGCTATTAGTCCAGGTCCAGATAGTTGAGCAGCTCAACTTTCTTTGCTTCTTTGGATGAAAGGATAGGAATGGAACATATTCACTTGCTAGGGGCCTGGTTTAGTTTAACTGAGTGCACGCTCAATTTCGCTACTTTTATCAGCACAGTTGCCGCTCATACCACTTTCATGTCACCCACATTCAATCCTCGCCACCTTGTTCCCGTCCCATTCCTTACACCACATGTGAAAGCCAAGGTTTCAATGTCACCACGAGGGCAGCAACGAAACTGGTGGTATCCATATTTTACGCCCCTTATCAGTTCTTATCAGTTGCTACCACATTCGTCCACTCAACTTCTGTCCCGCCTCAACCCTATCATTAATATTAAGTGCAGAACTTCAACCATCATGCAAACCAGTGTAAACGACATTGTGACATCAACATTTTCAACATTCGGCGTCCGTTATCAGCTTCTATCAGTAGCTATCACTTCCCGCCACCCACTATCAGTGTTCACGCCCGGCCCCGTACATATATCCTAGAAGTTTGAGCGCTCTTGGTCCAAAGGGAGCAAAGTTATGAATTTCCGGTCTACACACACACACACGCAGTGTGTACCACACATGGGCCCACACAGTCACACACACACACACACAACACACACACACACAACCACACACACACACACACACACACAACACACCACACCACACACACACACACACACACACACACACACACACACACCACACACACACACACACACACACACACACACACACACACACACACACACACACACACACACACACACACACACACACACACACACACACACACACACACACACACACACACACACACACACACACACACACACACACACACACACACACACACACACACACACACACACACACACACACACACACACACACCACACACACACACACACACACACACACACACACACACACACACACACACACACACACACACACACACACACACACACACACACACACACCACACACACACACACACACACACACACACACACACACACCACACACACACACACACACACACACACACACACACACACACACACACACACACACACACACCACACACACACACACACACACACACACACACACACACACACACACACACACACACACACACACACACACACACACACACACCACACACACACACACACACACACACACACACACACACACACACACACACACACACACACACACACACACACACACACACACACACCACACACACACACACCACACACACACACACACACACACACACACACACACACACACACACACACACACACACCACACACACACCACACACACACACACACACACACACACACACACACACACACACACACACACACACACACACACACACACACACACACACACACACACACACCACACACACACACACACACACACACACACACACACACACACACACACACCAACACCCACCACCACAACACCACACACCACACACACCGCTTAGCCGCTTATATATTAGAGCGCATTCAGCAAAAAATCAGTGTATAAGAACAGAATTTGGCATAAACTTCAAGAAACAAAGATTACAATCAAGTCAATAAGTACGCTTTTTCATACAAACACTTTGCCGCTGACACCATCTCTAGGACAGCAACTGTCAACCGTATGTTCGAAAGGATGTAAAGGTTCACAGAATGCTTTAGATAGACTGGTATGCGGTTGAAGTATATCACAAAACTTCATAAAGACAAAACTCACACGCATAAAATCAGTGTATGTCGTACAAAACTCCAACGGTGGTATTTTCTTCCATGACATTAACTTTCTCTTCTGAATAAATTTATGAAAAAAGATTCTAACTTAAAGCATTCTCTATAGCGAACTTACACGTCGTTTTTTCCTGACATCAAGGCGTCTGCTCTCAACTCTTTCTAGAAGCTCTTGAGTGAAACTCCAGTGTTGTAGAAAACTACCACTCAGAGGAAATTTCAAGCCGAATGTGTAATCAAAGGTATCGGTATCTGAAATGGGAAGTCCAAATCTAGTACAGTAGACAAAGAATGTGTTAAACACGATTATGATCTCATTGAAAAATTGCCTGATGACTTCAGCCAATCCTGTTGCTCATTATCATCATTCTGGAACTCATCCAATTCCGCCTCCGCCACCTTTCGTGCCTCTTCATCTCCTAGTAAAAATCCATTATTAAGCAAGCTTAAGGTAATGCTCAGAAGTATTGGAAAGAATTTTTTGCCCAGATCCCCTTAGAAAGGCACACAAGCACTCCAATATTTGAAAGGATCTCGCCTCCTATGAAGAAATAATATTCACGAATCCATGAAATCTGTTAAATTGCGATGACCACGAGGTAACTCGTGACCACTAATGAGTCACATAAAGACATTTTTGTAAAAGCGCATGATATGGAGTATGATACTGATGCTGAGAAGTAATGGTAAGTGACCACTATTTGAGCGGATTTTGCAAAAAAAATCATTTTATCAAGAATTTGCAATCTCATTAGTGAAAATAATACATTTTAGAATGAAAACGGAGATCTAGAACTCACTTTCATTCTTCTTTCGCTTTCCTCTTTGTCTTTGGCATTCTCAATGTTTTCGCCGGTAGCAAGCAGCATTGCTGAAACACAAGAAATCAACATGGAACATGTATCTACAGAAGGAGAAGCGAGGGTAGAGCTAAATAAAGCGCGCAAGCAGCGTCACAGAAATGGAGAGCAGGTAAGTTACGTCTTGATATAAATTAACGTACTATAGTTGAGGTTTCTCAACTACGCGCAGCCCGTGAATAGCAGTAAGAACACATATTTGCTTCAGCAGCGCGCAAAAGAATTTATCAGAGCAAGAAGTATAACCAGTTTGATCACTGCCCATCCCTAATTAAAAAAGGAAAAGAAAACTTCAGTGGCGAAAACTATATCTTCTTCTTTGATAGATCGCCTTCTTAAAACCAAGTGGTTTGACTGCAACACAAAGTAAAAAATAGAAAAAGCCGCATCGTTTCTTTCAAAGTGAATGCAGCACAGAACACCGGCACCATAGGCAGGTACCAGACTTCGACTAACCGTTAGCGGATCGTGATTTGTTAGCAGATCGAGCGATTTATGGTATTCCGCGCCCGTGAGAAGCGGTGAGCGTCCCCAAGAAACCGGTGAATGTTCTCCGGTGTTCCTTGAAGACACTACTCATTGCTCGAATCGCTACCAAAGCACACGATTCCCTAACAATTGGTTGTAAGCTCTGACATCTGCCTTGAAGCTTTACAGTACATGCCTTACACGCTGCAACCCCTGCGGATTACCAAAAATCTCACTGCTTGAAGACTTCATCAAAAGATATCATGAGACACCGCTGCACAACGTTAACTTTGCTACTGAGACGCTTGCAACACTAGTGTAAATAAGAAGAAAAGATAAGCATGGAAAAGCCACTACAACCACACTACACTACTAGCTAACAGAGCCATGCAACTAAAAGGAAAAAAGCACGACACCATTTGATCTTGCAGTGGAACCACCACAGCCCGCCAAAAAGCCTCCCCCATTTCTTCTTTCTAGAACTAATGTGGCATATCTAGCAATACTTTTGATGGGATGGGGTAAATAGATAGATATCAGGAAATAATTCCGAGCACTATAATACCTAGGGAGGGGGAGGAGGTAGCTAAGCTATCACCCACCGTGTTTGAATCATAATTTCAACATGATGCGTTTTGGCGTGAAATTATGTTATGCAGAAAGCCACACAACTGTCATAACTTAGAGCAAAAAAGAACTTCAGACCGGTTTTAACACTGAGATTGGTAGATTCAATGACAAGACCAAACACGGTAAATGGTAGAGCTTTGAGCGTGTTGCGGTTGTCCACTACCTTTCTCAGCATCACTTTTACCACGGATGAAAGTGTAGCGCGTCTCCTGAGCGTCGTTGTGAGTCCGATCTACGCGGAGACTGTATACGGCCGTTGCAATCGCCAACGCTACGGCGTCCTCCTTAAAACAGCTCACCATGTAGAGAAAATATGAATCAAAAAACGGAGACTCAAGAAAACTCGAACAATTAAGAATTTCAAGGTACCGAGAATAAAATAAAGGAATCTTCCACGGAAAAAGCTCCGCCTCCATTACCACAGAAAAACGATACCTTAGGCCCCTAGCCTCATGAGCATAGCAAAAAGACGGAACATAACGG